ATTTCCTTGTTGGAATGAAAGCATCGATGCCAGCTTTTGCCCAGGAGGAGACCTCAGACGCGCATTTTTGAACAGGACGATTCAAAGGGATGTCACGAAGGAAATCACGGAACGAGTCCCAATCCGGTCGTCGATAACAGAAAGATATTCTATTGGTAGGAGATTCTTGGCTGGGTGTGGGAGCGGAAGGAGATGTTTACAGGCACTACCGCATAATCAGAGTTGCCAAGAGGGCAGTGCTACATAGTAGGACATGAGTCAGCGATAGCGGTAAAAAAGAGATCCAGAAGAGAAGCGTGTCCGTCAGGGTTACAGGAGAAACGTGTGGGCAAGTTTGCGTGAACGATTTAGTGAGGGTTTGGATGCCAGCGAGGTCAGTGGCAATGTTTAGGCCACCTGGTATGATGGACATTAAAGTCATCGGACGCAAATATATTTGCAAACGGGTGTAGGGTAATGGCGTTGTCTATATTATCAGAAATACTATCTATGAGGCAACAGTCATAAGAGGAATTGGAACGGTGGGGGAAGAAGAGATAGCTGACTGGTAGAGAGATGTGGAGACACATGTAAGAATGGTCTGGAGATTCAAGAGAGCGTTCCCTAGCCAGCGCGTGATTGCCACGGACAAACTCACAGGTCAAGCATGTGGGCATTAGCGTCCTTCTTAAGGAGAGGAAGATAGCCAGAAATAGGGAAATCAGAGGAGGGGATTGAAGAGTTGAGATTAATTTAGCAGAGAGCTAGGATGTCCGAAGACCTTTCAAAGAGGAACGATTCCACAATGCAGTCAAGACACTATTAAAGTATAAAATTGTCACATGAAGAAAATGAGTAACTACCGACACCGAGGTTCGAGCGTGACATTCTGGATTGATGAATATTTTTTTCCGCCAGATGTATAAATAGTGGTGTCAGTCTACTGACTGAAGTGAATATTGAGTGGAACTATCCAGTCGAATTAGTGTGAATTATTGTGCATCGATGATTTGGGTTTTTGATTTAGGATTTACCGGACGTTAAGTTGAGCCGCGTTATTAAAAAGGTATTCACGGAAATGATTATCTTTGGTTGACGTTTACTTCTTTGTTCTTGTTAAGTATTTATTTGCAGTTGTAATTAAATACTGTTTTATCATAACATTGATGTCTTGAGTTACACTTAATTATTAACGGCCACCGTACGTCACAAAAAATAGATTTTTATAGTAAACAAACTGGTTAAAAATACTACGAAAGTATAAAACAGATTTTCATCGTAAAAATATCAGAAATATTTTTGAAAAAGCATATAACCAGAAATACATCTGACTCTCGACATAAACCCTCTTTACAAAAATACATCAATAAAACCTGATCTAGAAACTGATTTCTTACAAAAAATACATTCTATTCATACAAACGTCCTGGGTAAGACGATAAACTACATCCGCGTAATGGGTAAGACGATAAACTACAACCAATAGCAAAGCCTCTGATCAGGAGGTTTTGAGGAGCGTTTTGAGGAGCGTTTTGAGAAACCTCTTAATTGCTGGTGTTCCCAGCTCCGTCCTAACCCGGGATGGTAGCACCTGTTAAGGTCCCAACTATGGGCAAATAGTTAACCCACACACTGGTGTCAAAACACTATGAAAGTATAAAAATAGGTCTTAATACCAGCAATACATTTTTTGTAAAAAGTTATTACCAGCAATGAATTTTTGAAGGAAAAAATATTACCAGCAATACATTTAAAAAAAAAAATATTACCAGCAATAAAAATCTTGTTGGCATTAGATAACATATTGACGTTGATATGGCGTAGAACAAACCAAACTAAACCAAACTATTCATACAAACCTATCCTGAAAATCTAGTCGGCATTAAATAACCCATTGAGGTGTTGATATGCCACAAAATAAAACAAACACGAAGAAAAACTAAGTAAAAAAATCAAGAATATTCGTTCTCTTTACTTGCACCAATGTATACTTACATTCATTTAAATGAGTGGCCATAAAAAAACATGTGCTTTATTTTTTCAAGTACTTCTAACTATTACGTGTTCAGGTGTAAGTAGTTTGTGTATCAAATAAAAGTGCCGGCATCATTATATTATTTCCTTTAAACCACCCACCCACTAACCGGGCACAAAGCTTATTTGGTATGGTACGATTATTTCTTTAATATTTTCCTTCGCAACACTTGTTTTGTTTCAGGAATAATAAATTCCACGCTTATTCTATAAATTGGAAATTCAACAACAGCATCACTATTCTAAATGGCGATTGTATTTGGTAAGAAGCTGTACGTGTGTGCTAATATAATAAAGAAAATAAAGAGAATCGGTTTGAGACAAAAGAGAGAGAGAGAGAGAGAGAGAAGAAAAGAATATAAGTATCTCTTGTAATTGTTGTTGCTTTTAAAGGTCACCTGTTTAATGTACACCTGTAAAAGAAAGCTTCTTGCATTCAATTCTGTTAACAATGCCACAAGTGAATTTCCATTTTCTTTTCTTTTCTAAGAGTGCAGCAAATAAAGAAATCAGAAATTGGAATCGTTGTTTCTACTTTCTTTTTCATTCTTTATATACAGTAGACATGAATCAATTCCTTCACCTCTTTTTCTCTTTCTGATTCTGTGTGTGTGTGTCTGATTTGTGAAAACCAATAAATGGTCTGCTTTATTTGTTAAAGAAAATTTATTTACTAGATTAACTTTTTGATACAAGATGACTACTACAAACCTTTGGAATAAATACTGTTTACATTATTACTGTAACCCTTAAGCTGGGTCTCTCCTTCCAGATAGATCGTGTACACTTAAGGAAGACCAAATGTGGAATCGGTCGGGCAATTATGTTAACAGTAAAATTGATAGTGTCGTAGATTAGGACACAGCGTACTTCCTGCTCTTCCCTACTACTGTGATAATGGACTGCTCCTGCTTATGAATATGGCAAGTAGCCACATTAGAGTAGGATTTGAGGAGTAATTGATTTAATCAGTTATTTCCGTTCTATTTATGAGTATTTAATAAACCTCATATTTGTTTTTACCTACTTAGTCCTCTGCTCTTTCGATATTCTCTCTAACTACGGCCTTCTTAATTATCGGCTATTTTAGACAAAGACATTACAACATTGGCGACGAGGACGAGATTCGAACTCATGTGGAGAGACCCCATAGAGCGTATGATGTTTTTTTTACAGACCTTTAATCTATTTCTAAGACTAGACGGGCGGGAAATGTGAAACAGAAATCGAAAGCTATTGGAATAGCGAAAGATACTTTCCAAAATCTATAAGTCTTACAAGACAGGAAACATTCGATAGAAACAAAGAAAAGAGACTTGAACTTCCTATAAGGTACGGAATGCCAAGTAATTTCCTAACTGAAGAGACTTGAGACAATAGAAATATGGTTCTACAGAAGGATTCTGAGAATATCCAGAGGAAGCATGCAAGTAATAGGTAAGTTTTAAGGAAAATGGAAAGAATAAAAATAAATAAATAAAAGACTGTCTTTATTTCTGAGATGAGGTATTATAATTATTTACACTATTTACATTGCTTGAACTGTTGTCCATATCTTTATTGCCATATTCACCTTCATAAGCTGTCTCTATTTGTGAGAGGGAAATGTATGAAAGCTCTAGAGAGAGGGTGTAATAGAAGAAAGACGAAGGTGAAGGTGGGGATTAAAAATTTAGATGAGAAGTTTAAAGAGAGAGTCAAATGAAACGGTTTAAATGAATGAGATACAGATAAATATGAATTATTTTTCGATGCATAATTCGCTACCGATTCGTTGACCTAAATTAAAATTAAAACACAAAACGGAATTGGTGTGCACATTTGTATTACACTTTCGTTGTTGTGGATGTACTCATATTTTACGAAACGGACATTCGATGTTAGCGTATATGTATGTTTTTACGGCACCTTGAAATGTCGGTACGTAGCTTTTGTCTTGTATTATAAACTAACTAGTTCTTCGTACTATTTTCTAACCAAACGTAAAGAAATTGTAGCATACAATACGACTTATTCGGCGATATATTGTGTGTTGAGGCTGCCTTTTAGATTAGTATACTCTGCAGAGTATCTGATACCAATCAAACAGCGGCACCCGTGTGGAATAGCTATTAGCATCTTTGTAGTCATTTATTTCCAGTAACGAGAAATTTCTTATTTTCCCCACAAAACGGTCAGCACAGTCAGCCAACAATGCTATAACAATTCAACAGTAAAAGTGTTAATGTTGTTTTTGTAATTATATCTATCATATCTATCATATCATTATCTATACAATTCAACTGTATATTTTGTTTCTGATGTTATGTAGGAGACACGGCGTAGTAATAGATAGCGGTTCGGATTGAGGAATTCAGTCGAATTCATTACATTCACTTACGTGCTAATACCCTTGGGAAAGATATGAATCCTCTTCTTCTCTCCACAACTATGGGTAAATAGCAGGACAGGATGGTCTACCGTAGAAATGGCAACCTACTGCAGGAAAATATCTGTCTCGTCGAAATATACACGATCGCCTAAGCGTGTATCACATAACTGACAGACAAGCACCGGGAAAACATTTGCTTCGTTAGTCATGTATCAAAAGATACATGATCGCCTGAGCGTGTATCACGCATGGCACATAATTGACAGACAAGTACCGTAATTTTGAGGAATTATTTCAATTTGGACCGAAGCTGTTTCGTTAAGTGAAAGGAAATTAAGCAATCACTGTGTTGTCTAAAACTGGCTTAAAAGTTTTAAGGATCGTGTCTTGTCCCTTGAAATAAATCCCCAAATTGGACGTCAATTGTAGATTAAGAAATCCAACCAGTAGCACACGAATACATTCAGACGAGCTAAGATCATTCACAGATAACTGATATAATGGATTACATAATGGATTACATAAACTTAAAAATGGTTGATTGAAAAGCAGAAATACTTTTCTTACTCAACATGAATAGACGAGACTCCCATACGTGATACACGATTGGGCGGCTTGCGGCAGTATTACGTTGAAACACCAATTCCTGTACGATCACTGAAGTTAAGCCAAGTCAAGCTTGGTCAGTACCTAGATGGGTGACCGCTTGAGAATACCACGTGCTGTAAGCATGGGTGTGCGGGTGGTGTAATGGATAATGGCTCGGAATTGTTAATCAGAGGACCAAGTTCCAATTCCAGTTAGGTTCGTTATATTTACTTACGCGCAAATACCCCTGGGAAAGGCATGAATCCACATCTTCCCCAGTTATGACTTGTATCACTAAAACATTATCTAAAAAAAGAAATTCTTACAACCTAAACGTATTTTCTGGCTTTAAATAGACTGTAAGGGGTTGGTAACCCATAGAAAATGAATGAATCAATAAAAAACTCGCTTGGGCGATCATGTTTCTTTCGATCCGTAAGTGATTAGGCAGAAGATTTTCTAGTAGTAGGTTTCCGTTTCCTTTTGTCGTAAGGCTATAGGGCCTAGATTGTTCTGCTATTAAATCCATAGCTGGAGTCGTGAAGAATAGAAGGATTCATACCTTTCTCAAGATTATTTGTGCGTACGTGAACGAAATTAACACGACTTGAATTCGAATTTGGCTTTGTTATGGTCACTTATCTTTCACGTATTTATTTTACAATTAATCACCTAAAACACAGATCGGATCTCACGAGTCTGGCCACTCTGGATGTAGAATGTAGAAAGACTATCAATTATTTAACTCATTAGACAAACAATAAAAAGGAAACTTTGTATGAAATTGAAACAGAAAGAAATTGTTTATTTGCAACAATTTATATGAAAAGAAGCTTTTTGATATCATTCGTTGATCGGAAGCACAGTGGAGTAGTGGATAGTGGCTCGGAATGTGAAATCGGTGAGCCGAGTTCGAATTCTAGTCGAGTTGATTGAAAATTATGACTCCGTCTCTTATGGGTAAAGTAGCAACAGATAGGACTCAGTGTGAATTCAAACCAACCTGTAGAGAGTTGGGATCCGTCAAGCTGCTGCAATGGCTGTGCTTCTATGGCCCTAATGATCAAATATCCCTTTGATCGCCTAATTAGAATTAAGCTAGACAGAAAAAAGTTGTTTATAACAAAGTGAGGATTTATACCGTTATTAAAGTTAAAAGTAATTATTGGTAATAGGCGACGGCGATGTTGATGAGGTGTTGTTAACGTTTTCATTTGTCGTGGGTTGATAATTCAACAGAGTAGCTGAAATGCTATTATTGAATAAAGAGTGCCGAAAGAGAGTCGTTGTGGTAAGCATTGGAGTTGAAGTTGGTACAGACTAATAAAATTATGTTATCAGAGAGAAAGAGAGCTGTCTTGTATCAACGAGGAAGACTTGAGTATAGTGCACATGTTCAAAACTATCTGCATTATGTTTCGTGTGTTGTCCGGAGTCTTTGGTTGGTCACATGATATCTTCACCGCACTGCTGATAATGTTAAATGATCTGCTTGACCCCATCTTTCCTGATAATGCATTCCGGCTTGCCGTGAATGGATAACGAATTAATTTAAGCGGCCGACGACCATGCTTATATTCGTATCTGCAGGATCACGAAGCTAGCTTTTCAAATTATCACGGGTTTCAAACTCCTTTCTTCTGACTGACTGAAAATAATCCAGAGGATCGATTTTCTTCTCATTGCTTTTTTTCCAATAACGTTCCTTTTTATTACCTTGGGTCAGATGCAGCGTCGCCATAATCATGGTCAGAATCAAGGCTTATATAAAAAGTCCTATCCAAACATTTTATTAGTTGATGTCTTCACCCGTAGGTAGTCGTAATGGGCAGAGGGTTGTATTTTTTCTATATACATTGTTACATGGAAGCAGACAGGGGCCTGTGTAAAGACTGTTTGAACCAGCGAAACTTTGGATTAAAAACAATGTCCTAATAATGCTTATAGTCTTACTGATATCGATTACCGATAGTTACAGACGTTATTAATTAGTCAGTCATTTCGTTGAACTCGCAAAATGAATGATGTGCTTTTTCTGGGATGTCGTTGATGTAGCTGTTATATAATGAGGTCATATCGCTCGTGCTCGTTTTGGATAAAATGTTTTTACTGAATTGCAAATTGAATTAATGAAACGTTTCCACATTTCAAGCAAATATACACTCAAAAGATTTAAACTGTTCTCAATAATATGAACAACTACAGTTATGTTTCATTCGAATCTATGCATTTAAATTCACCTAATTTTTTTGCTTCTATTCCTGAAGCTATTCAGCTAATTGAGAATTCTTTCGCATCGGCAGAACATTAATCATTGTTATTAGACAATTATTATTAGATATATCTGATAGCATTTATATCTATATATATATCAATCTCTCTCTCTCTCTCTATATATATATATATATATATATATATATATATATATATATATATATAGCCAGAGTCGCTTATTGAAATTTTACTGACATATTGGCTAGTACGTTAATAATAAATTGTTCATTCATAATATTAACATTTACCTTCTCTGTGAATTATAACTAAACCTAGATTTTGCTGAGTGTAGAGTTACCCCACTTACTTTCCTAACTAAAAAGAAAAACACCACTAGGGGACGCTTTCTAAGATTACAAATATACTATAATATTTTCTGTCATTCTCTTTTTTCCTATTTTCCTTGACACGATAGGATGTAAGTCTATCGTGAAAACACACACACACGTACGTACGTACGTATTTTTTCTAGTATTTCTACACACATTTTACATACACGAACAATTCACTGGACTTTCAATATTTTCATGTATGTTCATTGTTTTGTATTTGTCGCTTGGAACTATGTAACTTTTTTCTTGTTTATAAGACATTATCGTTTATATATATATATATATATATATATATATATATATTATATATTGGTTTTAATTATTCTTTTGTATTTTATCACGGCGGACACATGCAAGTCCAACATTTTTGTTGTGGGATAAATATTCCAGGAGACACGTGTTTCCTAACTCAAACAACAACGTACGTACAACCCGCGTAACATGAAAGACATGAGTAGCAACTTTTAGGCTTTTCTATAGAAAGGCACCTCTCCATGAAATAATCACTTATGCATTTTTTCTTTTTAGATTGCTATCGATTATGCACTTGTAGCGGACCCCTCGAGCACCCCCGTATCACAAAAGGGTGATGAGGTCACGAGAGGCCCGCTAACATTTTCGAAGACGTTAAATCTGACAAGGTGAAACAACCTAGACGACAGAACGAGGATATATAAGATATAAGCAAATTTATTCTAGAAAAGTAATAAAGAAATAAAGGTGGTCGGAACGGTAGAGATGCAGATGTTCCGGTGCAGGCATTGATGGTCGATAAAATTTTGTTTTCATAAACTTTGGCGTCTTTTTCATCAGACTATGCTCTATGTTTTAGCGATTCCGTGGAGTGACTTAGGTTAAAAACCCAGGTTGTTTATGTGTGTGTGTGTGTGTGTGTGTGTGTGTGTGTGTGTGTGTGTGTGTGTGTGTACTACTTTATATATGGGATCGGATTTTTACATTTTTCAGCCGATAAAACAAACATCCACTTTTTTTTTCGGCAGGTAGTATTTCTTATTGTCTTGCACACTTTTTTTTCTTTTTATTTACATTCAGAATGCTTTAAAATTCCATTTACAAGACAATTGTTTATAATAAAATTCTATTCACCAATCGATAGACTCATAACGATTGTAAACAATGTTTTTTGTTTGAATTTGGGTTTGACCAATTGCAAAAAAAAAAAAAAAAAAAAACTAATTAAGACATGCGTGTCCGTCAACCTTAAACAATAATCTTTGTCAATTTTATTTTTCAGTCTTTATGATGGTCGATACTCGATCTATCTCTTACTGTTACATCCCCGGGCAACGCCGGGCTCTACTGCTAGCAATTACTAACGTTGTGTACGGGAAAGGTTATAGACAACGTGCAGGCAGCCAGTAGGGACGGAATGCCGAGAGTCGAACAGGGCCAAGGAGCCAGGAGTAGTAGGCGAAGGAGAGAGAGAAGGAAAATTTCCAACTATCGTCAAGTTGGCAGACAAAAAAAATGGGAGCGTAACTTAATACGCAGCCCGCGTCGACGTCCTGGCCACGGAGGCCAGGAGCCTGCGTACCGACCGTTTCAGTCGCCGACCCTAAATTTAGCGAGAAGTCACTGTCTTGTGGTAAGAGAGACTAGCAAGAGAATTGGTAAGCTAACACAGTAAAGTCTATCTAAAAAATGATTAGAGTTTAGCTAAAAGAAAACCAAAGCCTAAATATGCCTAGAAGTATATTACGACTAGGTTCGTAATATAACTAAACTGAAAAGGTAACTTGCTAGTCTCTACCTCGGGTTAACAGCGTGTAGGGAGCACAACCGAAAGGTCAAGGTCAAAATGACCTGTTCTCTTCCGGTTTAAGGAGCCAAAGAGGAGGTAACTCCGACACACTCTAGATCCTGAATATATATTTTTCTTTTAATTATCTAAATTATGGAAGTAGGGTTCAGTTTGGAACGTAAATTCATTATAAATTCCCCCTCCCCCCAAAAAAACTAACCAAAAACAAAAACAAAAAAACGATCGTACTACGATAAAGCATATTCTTGCTAATCTTAAAAATATTCAGATAATTTAAAATTGAAATAAAAAAGTTAATTATATTATTTAAAGCGTTTTTTTATTGATCTTTATTGAGTTGTGTCAAAATAATATTTACATACAAAATTTCAAATAATTTAAAAACAGGCGCGAAATATGAATTTAATTAATGCATTTTTTTAATAATTTCACCTCAAGCAAGGCGAGAATGCCATTAGTACGCGGGGTGGGGGTTTACAGAGAGTGAAAGTGAGAGAAAAGACTGAATAGAGGGGAGGATTGAAGAAACGGCAAAATATGAATGGGATTCAAGAAGATAGCGATTGACCTTGCGTTCTTACCTTTTTTATTATTATCATTATTTCCTCTTACGTGTATCTTTTTTGGCTTAACATTGGGGGATCAATTTACAATGAATTTGTATAGCAAAATGAACCCCATTTAAAATTTTAAAAAATAATATTTTTTTTATATTCGTGATCTGGAGTGCGTTATTGATAACATGTAAAAAA